TTCTTGAATGTTCTCCATCCGTCTATGGCATATCGCCAATTCTGTAGCCAAATTTGGCAATCTTGCCTTCTCTTGTCATTTTCTGGAAATTCTAAACCCGCTCTGGGGAGAAGCTATCTTAGTGCAGCTTAAAATTTCGTAACAATACTTTAAAATTCCACGTCTGTTTGTAGAACTGAAATAACTGTTGCTGGAGAATCTAAAATTTTTGAAGTTAACATTACACATTTCACTTCATTTCCCTCATCATGTAATTTAATGCTTGAAAAAGCATCCGCTACCCCATTTCCTCTGCCAGGAGTACATTTCAGTGTTAAGCTTTATTCTTTCAGCTCTGCATAAAGAGTAACTGCGGTCTTCCCAAGCTGCACTGGAAACTTCTATACAGCCAGAAAGATTGCTAACGTTTTCCTCTCGATAGCGGCATAATTTCCTTGAGCTGTTTTCAGTGTCTTACTTAAATATGCAACTAGCTGTCTTTTTTGGGTAAGTACAGCTCAAAATTCGACGCATCTGCGAAGATTTCTAATTTACCGACCGCTTCAGAAAATTTCAAGACGGGAGCATGAATTAATGCCGCTTTAAGTGTTTTAAATGTTTCTGCCGACCAGGTGAATCAGGCTTTTTTCTCTTTAAGTGTAATAGTGGCTTTACTATATAAGCAAAATCTTTGATAAAGATTTATAATAGGTACACAAGCTCCCAAATAAGGCTAACTTATTTTCCGTATAAAGCGGTAGTTATTTTTTTATTGCTACGATTTTAGAACCTTCCATTTCTATTCCTGTTTGAGATATCTTATAATCCAGGTATCGAAGTTCTTTTGCCGCGCTTAAACTTGCTTCTTTTATGAACGAAAAAACACGCATAAATCCTAAATACGCTAATCTATTGTCTACATAATAACCATTATATTATCTAAATAAATAAACGTAGATTTTCCGAGGACAGATCTCAGGATAATATCCATAGTTCTTTGAAATGTAGCGGGTGTTCCGTGTAAGCCAAACGGCATTCTGAAAAAGAGGTAAATTCCTGATTTGGTAATAAATGTTGGTTTTCGCTCATCCTCTGGTTTCACACATATCTGAAAGTATCGAGAGATGAGATCTAGCGTCATTATGTATTTTGTGGATTTGATTTTTCGACCTAAATTTCTGGTAAGGGGTAAACCGAATATTTTGTTGTGTTATTTAGTTTTCAATGATCGATAGCAAAACGCCATGCTTTAAAATCCATAGGTGAGAGATTATTTTTCTTTCGGCATAGTACTATAAGGCTACTTGGGCATAAGGGCTACTTATGGAAATTATAATTTTATTCTTTAGCATTCCTGAAATATGTTGTTCTATTATTTCTCCCTTGAACATAATTAGCGGTACGGTTTTGCTTGGCAGGGGGTGAGTTATTTCCAGTTTCTATTGTGCGATTTACCACCTGAGTCAACGCTGGGGCCTCATCAAATAAATCTGAAAATTTTCTTAGTAGATGCTACAGCTTCGCTTTCTCGTCCCCGTTCAGTTCCTTCAAGTTCAAAGCTGGAGCTTCTTTTCCACCAGCGTACTCATTTCTAACTGCACAGTGGATTCCTGTTAATTAATTTTCGCCCTCATAGCCTTTAAAAATTCATTTTTGTTCCTGCAATGCGAAACACTCTGCACTCTAAAATTTTTTCTAAAAAAATTCTGCCAAAAAACTACTTTGCGCCCTTGCAATGCATATACTCGTACATTGTTTAAATGAATCTGGATCACTGGAAGAAGCAAATGTTTTATCAACAATGTATTTAATTTAATCTGAGAGGGATTTTTTGTTCTGTGGGGTAACTGTATCCTCTGTATTTCAGTCCCACTGATTAGTTAAAAGTCTTAATATCGCTCCTCAATTTCTTCTTCTGATACTTATTTTGGCAATCGCTATTATTGGGTGAAAATTTCTTCCGCTTATCAAACCGTCTACTATCATCAAACTATTAGGTCCCTTCCGTTATAGATCTATGAAAATATCCGCTGACCATTGCTCATAGCCCGCTGTGCGTGTGCTTATTGATACTCGCCTTCTCTCGAATAACTCTTCTAAAGTTATCAAGTTTCGTTATTAAAAAAAAAAAAAAAAAAAACTTCAAACTAGACAATTTTATTTGTATAACTTATGCATCTTGCTTTTTTCGGCACTATAAGTTCACTGTTTGTATTTTCCTCGATATAAAATCACTCATTTCTTCCACTTAGTCTGATATCCACAAACCTTTTTGCTTCTAATTTCGCCCTGTCTTTCACCACTGAGAATTCTTTCACCACTGAGAATTCTTTCACAAGACCGGTTTTGAATATTTTTAACTTGTAATCTTTTCTGATTAGTTAACCCAACAAAAATTTACTAAGACCTTTGTACCAGTTTTCGAAGAGCTTGTCTTCGAACCGCGTCAATTGTTATTATGATCATCTGTAATATTGTAGCCGGGTAATGTAGAAAATGCATCTTTAACTGTTCCAAGAACGTCACTACCGAACTTCCACCTTTGGACATAATAGCAAGTTTTACCGAAGTATCTAGAATGCACCAGAAGCCTTCCGTTGGATTTCCTGGTATTGGTGGAACCTGCAGTCTTAGGAGGGGCAGAGTAAATGCCACTTTCTGTTGCAATATGATCCGTAATTTGTTTGGGCGCCATTTGTACGGATACTTGAACTGGTAATGCTGTTTTAGTCTAGTAGCAGCGCTAACAGATGCGAAGCGAATTATCGTTATGTCTGACAACAATAACAGAGTCCTGAGAAGGTTGAAATAACATTTTTATTTAAACAAGATATAGAACACAAAGGCAATCTCATGTGTTACAATTTCCACAACTCGTAGTGATACAAAATAAACTAGAACAGTCCAAATTAAATCAAACGTTAAACGGTAGTCAAGGGCTACACAGTTAAATACGAGTAGACCGGAACATCAGAATTAAAGCGGCGGCAATGAGAGAACGCAAAGCGAAATAATTGCTGCTGTCAGAGCAATAATTTAGCGCTGTGCCGGAAAGCTCGCTGTGGCTCAAAATAACAAACCTCAGTTTAAATATTCGCTATTCATTTGCATTCTCATGAGAAATACAGAAAGGAGAACTTACAGTAAAGACTGAAATTATTAATAAATGGTTAAGTAACGTAAGATTCTCTTCAAATTAAAGTAACAAAACATAAATTTCAATAAACTGGTATTTTTCTATTAGTGACTTTTGCCCCTCAGATGTATTAGTTGTATTAGTCAGCTGCGATACAGTGATTATGTTCTTAAATAATTAATCCAGAATTAACTTCTGAATAAAAATCATGATAACTCATAAAGTCATGGAGACTTTCGGCCATTTCTCTCGAAATTACCGAGATACAAATACTTAAAGTTAAATGGACTTGCCCCTGTATTCTTACTTTCAGACATAGTTTGTCTCCTAAAATTTTTTTTCGCGTTACATGTTACATAAAAATATAGCAATTTCACGTATAATTGCTGTGGATGTCTTAACCATATGAAATGTTAAACATTGCTGTTACTCCAATAAGATTAATAGTTATTTACATTTTTTTAGATATAGAATCACACAGACAAAAAATCAGTCATCGTTCTTTTCTTCTCTCTTCTTTATGTTGCCATTCTGGAGAAAAGAAAAGTGCATGCGAGAAGTTTCACAGATGGCGCTTCATTAACGCGAATGATGTCGACACACACCCCCTTCCCAGTGATAGCGTTATATCTCGTAATCTTTCAGGTATGCAGGAAAGGTTTCAGCCTCAAGAATGAAACGACAACAAATCTCCCGACACATGAAGCTGATAACTCCAAAATCTCACCTCCACCTCCTAGAGACAATGATTCTTCCCAAGATATTCATCCTAGAAACACAAAAGCTGGACGAAGGGTGAGATTTCCTGCATACCTGAAAGATTACGAGGTATAAAGCTATCACTGGGAAGGGCGTGTGTGGCAACATCATTCGTGTTAATGAAGCGCCATCTGTGAAACTTCTCGCATGCATTCTGAAAATTCTAACTGCATTCATTACCGCTGAAGTTATATTGCAATATAGAACAAAATTAAAATTTTTAAAGTTGACTTACCATTTTAGAAGTATTTCATTTTTAGAAGTATTTCAGTCCCACGTACGCTCGGAATTTACATTTCACAGACGCACTAAAACAATCGATTCATCAATTCTTGATGTAATCCATGCGCACCAGAAGCACTTCGAAATCGAAACTATCACTCAATCCACTGTCAAACTCAGGAAAAAAATTGCGGAACTTTAAAAATGGGTAAGTAGCTTCTTACAACGCTGTCCATAACATTTATTCTGTAACAGGTGACTATTTATAAAGTGCTTATAATGTCAGTGACATCTCGTAAAATTACAGAAACATCGTACGTTCTTTTTTTCATCAGACACTTTATAAGTTGAATTCAGTCGCATCCGGGTAAACCAGTGTGGATGTCTTAACCATATGAAATGTTAAACATTGCTCTTACTCCAATACGATTAATATTTATTTACATTTTTTTAGATATAGAATCACACAGACAAAAAAAATCAGTCATCGTTCTTTTCTTCGCTCTTCTTTACGTTGCCATTCTGGCGAAAAAGAAAAGTGCATGCGAGAAGTTTCACAGATGGCGCTTCATTAACGCGAATTATGTCGCCACAATTGCATTAAAATCATCTATCTATGTAGAAATTCGTAGCAACAGTTCATTGGCTAAGAAAATAAATCTTTTCAATCGATAAAACTCTTATTCTAACTTATATCATTGATGATCCTCAAGGCCAAAAGAGCTTTTCATTTCTTCTTGATTATAAGATCCACAAAAAATATGTTTTGTTCAACCATGTTTTTTTCATTCTGATTTAAAATTACCGTAACTTTGCATTGCAACACACTCATGCATAAACTGCATTATTTTCAATAAAACTCTTCCTTAAAATGGCAACAGCTGTGTTCTGGCTTCTGCTTTACTGACGTCAAAGTAATGTCTCCGAAATTTCGCTACCGCATTCTGCAGTGAACTGACAGATTAATGTTTATACCAGTTTTTAACTTAAATATAATTATACCTTAGCAGTTTTGGAAAACTGTTAATTATTGCCGTTTTTCTCTGTACCTTTACATAACTATGGCTGCGTCTGCTCGTAAACTTTCGTAAGTGTAGTCAAATATTAATAAATTTTTAATCCATTAAATTAAAAATTTTTTAATATAAATTGTGAAATATTTTAATAGTAGAGAACAATACACTGCGTGGGCGTAGAATGGGTTACTGGAACCGTTCTTTTAATCCGTAGAAAATTCGTGGTATTCGTATAAAAATTTATTGAATTCAATGTTATTTCTCTTATTTTGTCTTTCCTCTTTTTCTTAAAAAAAAAAAAAAAAAAAAAAGATAGGGGGGGGGAATTGTTTTGGGGTATAAAAATTAATTTCTGTATCACGAAAGCTGGAAGCCATATGTGAGTTTCGTATAAATATGTGTGAGAAATTGATAAGTAAAAAAAAATTTTTTTTTCATTTTAAACTCTTTTTTTTTTTTTTTTTTTTTTTTTTTTTTTATCTCATATTTAAAAGCTGTAGGAGAAGATAGCTTTCTGATTAGCATTCAAACTTGAAATTAAACTACTTTTGAAGCTGAGTAAATCGTGTAAATTTGTAATTTCTTATTATTGACACTTGCAGGATCTATCTATGTAGAAATTTGTAATCCATTATACTTAAATACATTAAAAATATTATGCTGCTGATTGTAAATTGTTATATTGTTTCTTTTATTTCCTCGAAAATTATAAGAAAATGAAGTTATTTATATGGTATGTGTTTGTTTTGTTATGGGGAGATAATTACAAATATTATAAAGGATGGAATGATATAAAATAGTAATTTGGGTTACTTCATGTTGAATGCCTGTTCTAATTTTCTAAATTTCTGTTTTAATTTTTCTAAATATCTAATAAGTAAACTTTATTTTATTATTGCTTCCTCTGACAGAGGAGAGAAATCAACATTATTCATGCTAGTAATTTAATTAGGCAATCAAATGACTGGAGTTTCAGTTGTTACCGTAAATATGAGATATTGCTGACATTACAGTGTTCATATTTTACGTACTCAAGAACTTCATTTAGTATTCTTTCGCAAGTTATATAAAAAATGATATTCTTTCTCTATTATAATGAAATATCTAAGATTGCTAAATTAAAATAAAAAACCCCAAAAGATGGCAAATTAAAATGAAAAAAAACCAAAGAGATTGACCATTATTCTTATTTAAACATTTAACTTACTATATTAAAATATCAAAAAATATCAGCAAATATTTGATGCCAAATTTATAAATTAAGCAAAATTCAATTTTAAATGGTATTAATCTTAGATACATATTTCATGTATATTGAAAGAATGTATATGTTACCGTGAAAGACCGAAATTGGAGAATGACAACTTTCACCAGAGAATATCAACATTCACCAAATACGTTGGTGAAAGACCGAATATTTCACTACATTCTTGTATATTCAGACCCTCACCGGATGTCGACAATCACAGATAAGTGCTCTGGTGAAAGTCGAAAAGAGAGGTCATCAAGTGCCATAATAGTTTAAGTTGTTGCAATCAATAAGATTTGAATCACATAATTTAGTAAGTTTTTTATTAGTGTTATTTTATTTTCTCATTTAGAACGTACTGTATAATTAAGTACGTTTTTAACTTCTATTATTTTCCTTTCTCATTTTGAATGTATTGTGTGTTTTAGGTTCTCATGTTCTTAAGTTCTTATTTCAAGTCTCAAGTGCGTTTATTCGAGACTGAATTATGGAGAAGAAAATATAATATTGTTATATGTTCAACATTCACCATTAGGACATGATGAATGTCGACATTGACCGGTGTAAGTCAGAAATAAGAGTATTTGGAAAATATTTCGGACATACACCAAGAGACTATGTGAATGTTAACATTCAACGGTGAAAGTCGACATTCTCTAGGTTTCGGTGTTTCACCGTAACATATACATAGCTTTGTTACATATTAAAGTTTGACTGAATGATGCAAAATAAGGTTGATCTTTGGATTATGGTAACTTGGTGATTTTTTGGCGAAAATTTGGTGACCAACTCTGCTACAGCAACCCTCTATTTTTTTTTTCGCCGCCATTTTGTCTTCACGAAGTAAAGACATGTTTCTTTTCTTTTTATTTACTCAACACTTTTTCCAACAATCTGCTAGCCGAATTACACTTATGCTAGAAATTTTATGGAACAAAACTGCTTAATCATGACAATTATTAACTGCAAAATTGGGAAAAAGTGCAGAATCGCAAACTTCTTGCCGCGTTTTTCAAAATCGCACATACACAGTAACCATGTACACGTCGACTTATTTTTACTTAAAAACACATTCCAGAATTGCACAAAAATGGCATTGCGCACACTCTTCACTATATCCATGTACAGTGCTTTTTTCTCATAAATTAGAAAAATTTCATGAAAATGCATGAAAATTTTGTGAATCTTTAAATTCAGTAAAAAGCACATATATGAAATTATCTGATCGCGAAAAAGTATATACCCTATCCAAGGATGAACATTTCCACGTATAATATAAATAAAATATCCAAAAACTTTTACCTCTAAATTATCTATTATAAACGTCACCAACGAATTTATAACAAAACATTAAAAAACATTACAAATACTTAGTCTCAAATATTTAAATTATTTCCATGCACGTTTACTTCCACTGAAACGTATACCAAATTGCTACAAACATATAATTCACAAAATAACTATCATTTAATTAAAATATAATTAAACCATGTACACATCAACTTATTTTTACTTAAAAACACATCCCAGAATTGAACAAAAATGGCATTGCGCACACTCTTCACTATATCCATGTACACTGCTTTTTTCTCATAGATTAGAAAAATTTCACGAAAATGCATGAAAATTTTGTGAATCTTTAAATTCGGTAAAAAGGACATATATGAAGTTACCTGATCGTGAAAAAGTATATACCCTTTCCAAGGATGGACATTTGCACGTATAAAATAAATAAAATATCCAAAAAACTTTTACCTCTAAATTATATATTATAAATGTCACCAACGAATTTATAACAAAACATTAAAAAATGATTACAAATACTTAGTGTCAAATACTTAAATTCTTTCCATGCACATTTACTTCTACTCAAACGTATTCCAAAATACTACAACATATAACTCTCTCAAAATCACGATCATTAAATTAAAATATAAATAAATTAAAAAACACTACTTAAAATATTGATAAGCACATACATTAAATTAATAAAAATTAGCTTACAATCCTAATTACTTTAAACTAAATCATTGCTAATAACAATTTTCCAACAATACCATATTAATTTATTTACTCCTTACATTTAGAACAATGCATAAAAATAATATCCTCAAATAATTAAAATACTAACTTACCTAATCTTCTACAGAATCTTGAGTGCATGGCGGATCACAAAATGTCCATTTTCACCAGGTTTCTTGCACCGCCATTCAAACTTATCTGTAATATCCTTCCTTTCACACAATCTCATTTCATTCCCACATATTGGACATTCATACTTATCCACAATTAAGCAATTCTTTTCAATTACACATAAACACGATAAAAATTTTGGATTTACTTTATATAGGGCCATGGGATCCAAATATTAAACAACACTGTTTCACAGAACATAGAATGAAACTACTGCTATAAAGTACAGCAGATATTTTTACAAATTTACCCCCTTTTCCAATTAAAGAACAGTGATTCGTCCATTAATGTCACATGACATATATCATGATCTCTCATTTCCCTCACACAAAATAATGCGTAATCGGAACTGAGTAATTCTCACATTATTCCCAAAGTCCTAGGTAGTAACCTTTATTGCCTCCAAAATGTCGCCAAACTACCTGTTACCATATTCCAAAGATTAGCCCAAAATAATTTTGGTACTTGAAAAAAAAAAAAAAAAAAAAATATTATATTTTCTTGAAATACATAGTACTTTCCGTAAAATTAATACCAGTGTAGTATTAAATTTCACATAGATTTAATGTTCTAATTTGCCATGGTTTTCTTAATTATTTTTTAAAAATTCCAATGGCAAAGAATAAGACAAACACTATACAAACAAAACTCTGTGAACATATAATGTTGAAAGTCAGTATCCCACGTTTCTTCAAATTCTTCAATAGAATTAATTATAAAATAGCTTATATCGAATTCTCGAATTTAATTTGTATCCAGGCCAAATGCATGAATGCATGATGAGAGATCAGAAAATCAACTGGTGAAAAAAAATTTTTTTCTTAACACAAAAAAAAAAAAAAAAAAAAAATTCACCAGAGAAAAAAATTTTTAAACTAAATTTTATTTATTACATATTCAGAAACAGTAAAAATAATGGCACAAGTATATTTGTAGGTAAATAATTATAAACTTCTTTATTTCTTACTACAACTTTCAGTATCGCATGGCATTTCAGTTTTGATGAAGCTTATAAACTTGAAGAAAAATGACTAAATCCATCACAACTTATATTCTCGTTGGCCAGTCTGATTATTTTCTTAGATTTATTAATTTTCTACTGTGGAAGAAAACTATTCATGTATAAATGCATTCCTAAACAAAGTGAAATTCATTACTGAGAGTATTTAACTTTTGACAAGTGAAAAAAAAAATATATATATATATATATTTATTAAATCTTTGAGTAAGATTTGCATCACAGTGTAAATTAATTAGCTATACTTTTAGATTTTCTGAAGAGTTTTGATATTTGTTATTAATGGCAGAGAAATGTAACATTAAAGTCAGTATCATTAAAATAGTAAACGTTTCTTCAACTTCTTGCCATAAAAGTTAATTTTATAATAATGGAAATTAACATATGGGAAATGTATTTATCAGTGATGTATCTATTTTGTAACATTGCTTCCTATTTTGTTGAATATCTAGTTAAAAGGCATCTGTCAGGTATCTCTATTGAAGGAATCTGTTGATTAAAAATTGCTTTGCATTAAGAGTAATAAAAAATCATAAAAATGCATAAAGATTCTGCTATGTTTTAATATTCCATAGTATGAAAAAATCTATCTTTATAACTAGGGCCAGATGAAGATATTTTCATACACTGGGTAGAAGGCATCAATGGCACTTTTATATTGTTAGATAAAGATAATTTTTTATGTGTTTTCAACTCGTATACCTCATTTCTCTGGTAATGCCAACAATTTTTGTGATGATAATTACTTCTTGAAAGGATTTTTTACCTGAAAACTTCAGTTATTAGCAAAATATTATCTTTTTTTTTTTTTTTTTTTTTTTTTTTTTTTTTTTTGTAATATTTTAGGAAATTTTAACTTCTTTAAAACTTTATATTTTTTTTTCTTTTTTATCCTAAAAACAGAATATGCTTTATGATAAATCCTTCTGAGCTGCTGTATATTGAAATTAATCTCAGTCATATGAATTCTTATGTGATGGCCCATGACCTAGCGGTTTGCAACATACAAGTAATGTTTTAGCTAGTAATGTTAAAATCTGCTAACAAAGCCATAATTAGCCAATATAAATAAATTAGAACTATAACTTAACTAACATCTGTATTGAAGCTGCCACATTTTATTTCAGCATCTGTGTGCTGCTGCCATCCATTACTTTCACTCAATTAACTGACAACATCAAAACAATGGAATGTTTGAAGGTCTAAATTTAAATCTGAAATTTAGGCCCAAGAGTAGAATCTCTCTCTGTATATATATAAAATGGGCTAAAGGTTAACTCTGTATATATATAAATGGGCTAAAGGCTAAACTCGGGGTTTAAATCTAAAGATTTAAACCCCAAGTGTTATGAGCTTAGCCCTGAAATTTTAGAAGTTCTTCAAAATGTCATGAATAAATTCATTTATAGTGGATAGATAAAAAAAACACAACCTATGGACTTCAGAGGCTATAATTTCTACATTTAATATCAGAAAACACAAGCAAGTACAGTGGATGGATAAAAATATGGAAACACCTTGTGAAATGTATGTTTGAAAAGAAAGATTGATTTTAATGAAATATGTAGGTGGCGCTGGCATTTTTGACTACTGACGCCACCTATACAACTTCGTAAATGTGCTAAACAGTTCAGTTGTTGTCGGAGTACTGTTTGTGAGGTTTGTCATTGCATTATGTCAGAGTTACACAGACTTCGAACATGGGCAAGTGTTGGAGCACGTATGGTGGGTGCTTCCGTAAGCAAGGTAGCCGAGGTTTTTAGTGTTTCAAGAGGTACTGTATCGAAGATTTATTCCGCATATTTGAAAAGTGGAAAAATATCATCTCCTAAATCACAGCGTGGACAAAAGTGTGTCCTGAGTGATCGTGACAGATGATCATTAAGGGCAATCGTGACGAAAAATAAGAAGACCACAGCTGCAAGTGACTGCTGAAATGAATGTTTGTTACCGATGCAACCATTCGAGAAGAAACAAGCTGTTTTGGGATGCCAATGGGTTCCCTACTACACATAATAATCAAAGAACGATGCTTTTTTTTAAGGTGTTTCCATATTTTTGTCCAACCCCTGTAAGTTCTAATCCAGAATCAGCAAGTTTTAGTTGTCAGTTAATAAGGATTTTACTGTATTATAAAAAAGTGAAAAATAATATGAATATTAACATTGAAGAAACAAGTGTGTATTTTTCACCAATTGACCTGCATATTTTATATTGAGGAATATTTGTCAAGATTAAAGAAATGTTAAATTGGCAATGCCTAACCAAATATTTATATACATATTACTTAGTTAATGATGTTTGTGAACTGTAGGATCTGTCTGTTAATTTGTAACCTTCTGAAATCAACACAAATCTCCAGAACATTTTACAGTATATTTATTTGGAGAGTGAGGAGGAAAAATACAATGCAATGGATATATAATTCAGTATGTCAGCTGTGCATATACATTTAATACATAAGAAATTGAATTCAGATGCCATTTTGTGTGACACTCCTGAAGTGTTTTATTACTCGTATTTTTAATTTATTGAATAGGATGGCTGATATATATTTTTATTCTCTAAATATCTTTACTCATTATTTTTTTCACAGCACCTCGGGAGATTCTTTGTATTTAACCCTCGGCCTACCAAAAACTGCTACCGCTGATGATATTAAAAAAACATACAGAAAGGTAAGCAAATTAATGGTACTTTTTAATAAGATGTTACAGTTAATATAAAAATTAGTTTTGGATCACCCAAATTATAAAAATAATAGAAAAGTAATACTATGTTTTAGTACATGTACCACATATTGTTTTATTGTAGAGCTGGTGTTGTCAAATATATTGGCAAGCAGCATGGATGGATTTATAAAACTTGAGGTCTGGAGAAAACTTTTTAAGTTTCATTCCACTAATTTTTTCAATCTATTAAATGATGCATACAAATTATATAATGCCTTTTTTGAAGTAACTGAATTCAGTGTTTTTCATTACAAAATATATAATTTTTTATATACTTTTGTAGTTTCCATTTATTATGGAAACTATAAAAGTAAAGTATATAAAAATACAAGTAGTAAAAATACAAGATCCTAGTTTAGAAATGCACAATACTATGTATAAAACATAGGATTGTGCATTTCTAAACTAGGATCTTGTATTTTTACTAAATACAGACCTTAGTTAAATTACCAATAAAAGACTGAATTATTATTCAATTTTCTGTATAATTATATAAAAGTGTAAGTTTAAATAAATCATGTTTTCTCCCTTCATTAAAGAAATCTTTCTGATAGCCCATTTTTACACCATGGAAGAGAAACTTGCTGTATCTGCTTTAAAATTAGAAATAGACAATAACTTAACAATATTGCTGAATAAGCATGCAAGATAATGGTCCTGTTGTAAGTTTTTATAATAAAAATATTTTATGTTAATGCTAGGTGAATAAATCTGAAAGATTCATTAGCAATTTTTTTTTCTTCTTTTTGGAATGTTGACTGAATAAAATCATGTTCTAGTTTGCTCCAAAAAGTTTAAAACTGAATATTATTCTGTTATTAAATTTTTGATTAAAGAAGGTATTATATGTTAAAAAATAAAATAATGCTTCAAAAATAATGCTTAAGAAGTAAAATAATGCATGTGTATGTTACATAATCTGATTCCTATTTTACTGGGAAGGAATGGGTAAAACAATTTCTTGTGGGTTGAGAATCCATAGAAGATAATTCGGCTAATCTTTGGAATATGGTAACAGGTACTTTGGCGACATTTTGGTAAGGCAATAAAGGTTACTAGCTAGGACTTAAGCAATAATCTGAGAAGTACACAGTTCGAATCACAGATTATTTTGTCTCAGAGAAATGAGAGATCAGGAGACATGTAATGTGACATTTTCCGGAAAATTCCAATCAGGATTTTAGCTAATAAGCACTTAGAAACAATTTCGCTGCTAAAGTCAGAATTGCCCACTTATTTGTTTGGTGCTTTTTACAAGAATTGGATTTTTGTCTTTGACTTTTTAAATGAAAATGGGTCGATGTGTACATGGATAAAGTCAAGAGTGTGCTCAATGCCATTTTTGTGCAATTCTGGGATATTTTTTTAAAGTGAAAATAGGTCGACGTGTACATGGATACCGTGTATATGCAATTCTTAAAAACGAGGCAAGCAGTGGGCGATTTTACACTTTCTCCCAATTTCACACCTGATCTTCGTCATGATTAAGCACTTTTGTTCCATAAAAGTTCTAGCATAAGCGTAATTTGGCTAGCAGATTGTTAGAAAAAATGTTGAGTTAAAAAAAATGCCTTTGTTTTGTGAAAACAAAATGGCGTCCAAAAAAAAAAAAAAAAAAAAAAAAAAACTAGCAGGTTGCTATAGCAGGGCTGGTCGCCAAAGTTTCACCAAAAAATCACCAAGTTACCATAATCCGAAGATTCACCAATAATTCTTGCGATGGTAAACCATCGGAGGTATTGATGCAGGGCCAGATGGAAGACTTTTAGAGGCCCTAAGCAGTTAAAAACTTTAGTGACCTTGCATAAATTTATACCTTCCCCCCCCCATTGTTTGTTTCTCAATCTTGGTTTACCTGCACCATAAATTTCATGGTAAAATTGACAGTCAGGAATTTTGTGGTATCCTCTTTCTTGAGGACATTTTGTGGTGGTTTTTTCCTTGATGTCCTAAACTTGTGTTTATTTTGCTTAATAGTTAATGAATTGACACTACAGAATATTGCTCATGTCTAGGAAGAAATATTAAGTCATGCAAAGTATATAAATAAAATAATTAGACTGGAATCATAGCATTTGATCTCATAAAACTCTGGACTTCCTGTTAGAGGGGAAGGGTGAGGGTACATTCTAAGCACAACTTGTATGAGTTTGAACTGTGGTATGAGTCATGTAGTTGCCCTTAGATTCCCCCCCTAGTGTGTTCTGAAAATTAGTGGCATCAGTTTTGATCAGTTCTGAAAATTAGTGACATCAGTCTTTGTGTGATCAAATTTTGCTTGAGACTTGAGTACATTATGGTAGAAACTTTTTAAAACATCGTGGCGCACAATGAACTGGAAGTTGATCTGTCGGCACTATTCTTATCTTCAGGGCAGATGTTTTTATTTTATTCGGCTTATAATTCCTTACTAAATGTAGTATTTCATCTCGATGTACTCTCTTTGATATGATTTAAATCAAATTCCTTGTCATTATAAATATCACGAATACACATCAAATAATTTTCTGGTTGCAATTTTCTAATTTCGACTATGCGTAATGTATGCTTTACACATGTGCGCGTTGAAAGAAATGTTTAATAAAGTAAACAAATAAATATTAAGCTTTTTTTTATTTGTAAATTTTCATACCCTTTAGATCATAATTGCTCTTTATTTCATAAATTACGGTTTTATATTTTTAATTTTATAATTTCTGCATGCCATCTTACCAGATTTAAATTGATGATCTATAATCTGGAAAAACCGATAATCCGGAATCGCCGAAGTCCCGACAATTCTGGATTAAAGACTTTTGACTGTTTAGAATTATCATAATATTTTTTTTTGCACAAGATTTCTAAATGCTGAATTCCAATAGAGCTATTTTTCAGTAACGTAAATTCTTTAAAAAATTTTAGTACAGAGTATCAAGACTTGTTTCTCAATTGAAATTTCAGGTTTTTTTGGAAGGAGCAGAAGATAGTTATTTGAAGAAACATTTTGTTGCATTTATTTTTATTTATTGGGTTGGCAACTAAGTTCCCGTTGTTTTTAAAAATGTTTGTTGAACGGTTATTTTTCAATAAACATATGCAAGTAGTTAATTAAAAATGCATTCTCCTTTGTTGTCTACAATGTTTTCTCAACGTTTAAGAAGTTTTTCAATACCTCGTTGGTAGAAATCACCTGTTTGAGACATGAAAAAGTCATCCAACCAAGCTCTAATTTCTGTATCAGTATTGAAAGAAACTCCCCGCATAGCATTTGAAAGAGATCGAAAGAGGTGAAGTATTCCAATATCACCAATGCCACCAATCCAATACTACCAGCGGAGATTATGGCTCATTGATTTTTCTTGGTGATACATAAAGTGTGAATTTGTCAGTCCCTGGTTGTTTAACGTGGATTTTAATGCAAAAGGTGATTCAATCGCTCTCAATCGAACTCAGCTGGATGGCCAGAACAAGGTGCGTCTTTGAGGTTAAAATTTCCTTTTTTGAACTTTGCATACCAATCACAGGCAGTTCTTTCAGGTATAGCACCCACTCCATACACAACACAAATGTTGCGAGCAGCTTCTATGGCCTTAGAACCTTTATTAAAGGCAAAAAGAAGGAGGTGTCGAAAATGCTCATTCTTCTCAACTTGACATTCCATGTTAATGATCTGTAAATAACAAGAAAATGTATTTTAGTAACAATGAAACATATATTTTAGGTAGAACAATGTATTCTCTTTTGAATGATGTACAACTTCGTGCCAAAAGTATTTAATATCATACAGATTTTTCAAATTAAAAAAAATGGCGGGAACTTGGTTTCTAAACCAATATTTCAATTTTTATTCTGATTCGTACTCTAGATGCCTGAGAATTAATTACAGATGTTTTTGAGTGCTTTTTTGTATGTAAATGGATAATACATAAAGTACTTTTTTAAAACAATTGCAGTATCACAGCTGTTCAGTCGATATCTTGTTGAGCTCAAGATTGTAATTTCTTTCTATTACATTAATTATAATTTATTTAGAGGAAAAACTACTGAAATGCTTTTAATTTCCCCTTCTTCGTAATGTATTTTATTGTCAATGATTTTGTTACTATGTTGTTAAACTTTTTTATTTTCATAATTTTTTTTTTCATTAATATAGGCATAAATTCAAAATTACTAATTTAATTTAATCTGTATACATACAGCATACTTTTAATATTTCAGCTTGCCTTGAAATATCATCCCGACAAAAATCCTAATGATCCTGCAGCCTCTGAAAAGGTAAGAGTTTTAACTTCTTAAAATCGGTAAAATTTAGAGTAATAAAAATATTTATCTAGAAATATTAATCTTTCTGAGATCATTAATAAAGATTAGCATGATAATGTAATTCAATTAATAATAAAATTATTGTATTGATAGTAATTCAATTAACAATGAAATCAATGTAATAATCATAATTCAAATAACAGTAAAATCAATATAATAATTATAATAATATAATAATTATATACAATCATAATTCAATTAATAATAAACTTAATGTAATGCAGTACAAAATCCATAATCCGGACCTCAAAGTAGCAAACTTTTTTTTTTTTCTGGTGTGCTTTACGCTTGTGCGTTTAATGTATAATGGACGATGTAAGCTAGGCTGAAATTATCTTAACTGATTCTAAGGCATTTCAGTTAATGTTGCAGATTGCACTGTTCCTTAATCTTCTAATTGGATCCAGCTTATTATTTTATGCAGACTGTTAGAGCAATTTTATAAAAATTAAGCTTGAACTTTCGATTATGTCTAAAAGAGCGTCCAATTCTGGAGCTGCAAAGGATCTACAAAGCGAAAGCATGTTTCGATGTCCATTAAACAAAAAGTGGAATTGCTGAAAAAATGAATAAAGGCATATCCATATCAAAATTATGCGAAGAGTATGATATTGAAAAGTTAGCTGTATATGACATAAGCAGAAAGAAAAAGGAACTTTTTTAATTTTTTGTGGATTCCAACACCCCACTGGCAATGAATAACAGAAAAAGGGTTTGTTACGCTAAAAGTGACTATCATGATGACAAAGTGATGATTGAATGGGTCGGAAAGCATCGCAGCGAGGGCGTGCCATTGATGGGTCCAATGCTAATGGCTCAAGCCAAAATATTTCACGAAGAAATTAACTTAAACACTGAAAGCAGATATTCGACAGGTTGGTTAACCAAATTTAAAAATTGCCATGGTATAAGACAATTAAACATTTCAGGTGAAAAAGCTTCAGCTGATATTGAAGCTGCTCAATAATTTGCAGATGAATTCATTGAACTCATTACTAGTGAACAATTATCTCCAGAACAAATTTACAATGCTGATGAAACTGGTCTTTTCTGGCAATATGTGTCGTGAAATACCATGGTAACCTCTACAGAAAAGGCTCCAGCTGGTGTCAAAGATTCCAAAGCGAGACTAACAATTTTAGCGTGCGCAAATGCTGCAGGAACGCCCTAGTGCAAACTTTCAAACTTTTCGTAATTGGAAAACTTGCACGTCCTCGAGCATTTAAAGGAGTAACAGTTTCCCCATTATATATATCTCTCAAATAAAAGAGCATAGATGAGACAAGCGTTAATGAATGATTGGTTTGAAAATCATTTTATACCCGATGCTTGGCGACATTTGAACTTGGTTGGTTTACCTGATGACTCAAAAATAGTCCTGATTGTTGACAACTGTTTGGCGCATACTTCACGTAAAATTTTAGTGAAAGATAATGTATCCGTATTATTCTTCCCTCCAAATTATATGTCTATCATTCAGCCTATGGATATGTGAATAGTGCATATGCTGAAATGCAAGTGTAAAGTAGCATTTTAAAAATCTATATTAAATTTCTTGAACAATAGCAAGACTATTCAAAACTTTAAAAAAATTTTTAGCGTAAAATCTGCTGTGTGGAGCATCGCAAGATTGTGGGAGGATGTGTCTCCAGATATGTTAAAAAATGCTTGGCATGATTTATGGCCAGTTACTATATTTCATGGTGAGGATGATGAAGATGACAGTCGCGAATTTGAAGGTTTTCGGACCTTGCAAACTAAAGGCGAAGTTTTTCAGTTATTGGATTTTGTAAAGAAATGAGGAGAAGTGGTAATAAATGAAGATGATATAGCATATAGCATGTTTTTCATTGCAACAACAATGCTCCAATCATCAATCAATTAACTTACAGCGAAATCTGTGGTATGTTTCTAGATTTAGAAAATACCGCTTCCAATAGTGAAGAAAATGACAGAGAGGTTATTGAAAACGAAAAAATTTCAATTGATAAGTTAGTCGGTATTCTCGACACAGCAATTACAGGACTTGAACAATTGAACTTTGTAATTGAACAAGAAATTATGTCTGTCTATAGAATTAAAGAGAAAGTATTAGCACGAAAAATGAAGCAACTTAAACAACTTACATTGAAAGAAATGTTTAATGAAATAAACAAATAATTATTAAGCGCTTTTTTTTTTTTTGTAAATTTTGATACCTTTTAGATCGTAATTGCTCTTTATTTCATAAACCACCTTTTCATATTTTTGATTGTATAATTTCTGCATGCCATCTTACCAGATTTAAATTGATCTAATACAGTCAAAAGTCGTTAATCCGGACTCGTCGGGACTTTGGCGATTCCGGATTATCGATTTTTCCGGATTATAGATCATCAGTTTAAATCTCGTAAGATGGCATGCAGAAATTCTAAAATTAAAAATATGAAACTGTAATTTATGAAATAAAGAACAATTATGATCTAAAGGGTATCAAAATTTGCAAAAAGAAAAAGCTTAATATTTATTTGTTTACTTTATTAAACATTTCTTTTAATGTAAGTTGTTTAAGTTTTGCTTCGTTTCATGTGATAATACTTTCTCTTTAATTCTATTAAACAGACATAATTTTTTGTTCAGTTACAAAGTTCCGCTGTTCAAGTCCTATAATTGCTGTGTCGAGAACACCGACTAATTTGTCAATCGAAATTTTTTCGTTTTCAATAACCTCTCTCACTTTCTTCGCTATCGGAAGCGAATTATAATGACGAGGAACGTTTTAAATCATATCAAAGACGGAGCATATCGAGATGAAATACTACATTTGGTAAGGAATTATAAGCCAAATAAAATAAAAACATCTGCGCTGAAGATAAGGATAGTGCTGACAGATCAACTTCCAATTCATTACACGCCCGCCGCGGCATTCCCCCCGCCGAGCAGCGTGAAATTGATAAACAGATTTCGGATTTCAAAACATAGTTTCACTTTAGATCCTTTACATATTAGCAAATATATATCGGAAATTCTATTTGATATAATCGAAAGTTTAAGCTCACTTTTATAAAATTGCTCTTACAGTCTGCAAAAAATAATAGGCCGGATCCAATTCGAAAATTAAGGAACAACGCAATCATCAACATTAACTGAAATAGATAATTTTAGCTTATACGTCCATTATACATAAAACGCACGCGAAAACGTATTCTGCACTTGCGCACACTCATATGCGCAGTCGTAAAAGGTCTTACGCGCACGCGTAAACGCCTATGCGCATGTGCAGAAAGTTTTTAGTTTTGAGGTCCGGATTATAGATCATTCCGAATTATGGGTGTCCGAATTAATGACTTTTGACTGTACTGAGCTGCTGTACTTTTGACATGCAAAACATGTGCAGGCCATTGTGGCATGGATTCTACATGACCATTGTCAGGTACATGGAAGACCATTGTCTTAAATTTACAACCAGAATTTGTGCAGTGCCCATAAATTAAAGGACATGATTAGTGAGCTATGAACCAGCACGTTCTAGATGTGCTCAACAGTATTAATATTTGGCAATTTAAAACTGCAGGACATATACTGGAATTCATCAGGATGTTCCTCAAATTACAGTAGCACATTCCAGTTCACATAAAGAAGTGTTTTTCTGCTAGAAAAGTCTTTTCCTGTTAAGAAAGGCAAAGCCATGAAAGGATGTAATTCATCAACAAGGATGTTCATATAGTTTGCAATTGTTGTGATGCAATCTGTAATAATGTACACAAATTCCAGGGATACCCTGAAAACATTCCTCAAAGCTTAATATCCATCACTGATCTATTATGATCTGGATACATGTGTTGACCAAGTGTTCATCTGAAAGATGCAGTATACTGTGACATGATGTAAAAGAAGTTGTGATTAATTTGATCTAGTATTACATTTTTGCAGTCATGATGGAAATGTTGTAAATGTTTTTGATGCTAGATTTGTCAAATGGCAGTTACATTGGACGTTAGGCCATTAAACTCCTTGCTTGCCAATAGCGCTGAAATCTACAAGAAAAATTTGTCAGTGCTTCACACTCGTTCGAATGTTTTGTTGTCATTGGTCATCCACTATTACATAAAACACACAACAGTGAATCAACTAATCCAATGCGAAATAAATGATTCTGTAGACAGTCATGCCCCATCAGTGGTCTAAAAGATGCAACTGTTCGTGGGTGGTCAGGAACAGAAGCTGGGCTTGTTGAGAGAACACTCCAAGCCATTACAAGCCCAAGAGGAAAAATTTTCGCAAGCATATCAGCCATCTCATTCCCATAAATACTGCAGTGTGAAAGTACCCGTTGAAAAGATATCGTGTGGGAAGTTCTTTTATGACTTCCTGACACTGCTGAATGCATATGGTTTTACTCAGCAGATTTAGCGTAACCCAGGTTGCACCACGAGGAGGCCTGCTATACTTCATCCTGGTTAAGAGGCATATGAAAAGGGTAACTGCTGCAGAGACCCATGTCCAACAAAGTTTGATGAACTGTGAGCTTATGTACACTTGTATTTTGAGTTGTATCATATTCTGCTGTTCATTTGAACCACCTATTGCTTTCAACAAACAAGACAGTCTCTAGTGTTTATATTCACCAGGTATGGTCATCTCTTTACCTTTCTTCCACTTTTCGTAAGTACTAACATTAGTAGGTCATGAACTCTGGATGAGCAATTTTGTTTCAGAGATACTTATTTACATTCCCATTACATGCACACAGAAACAGTAAAACGATGCCGTAGTATTCCCGACAGCTATTAAATAATATTTCAAGCCTGTTGCATACTAGCAATATACACTCACAGTGTAGGTTTAAATAATGTAATTTCAGTTGTTAGGGAGCATATAAAATGTACATTATATGAAAGGAGCTTTGAGATTCATAAATTAAAAATACTGCTCTAAAAGAACTGAAGTAGGAGATCAAAATGGTCTTCTTTTTTCCCCTCAAGAAAAATGCAATTTCTACCCTTTCTTTCTTCAAACTAGAGATTCAGTGTTTATCTATTATTTACTTTTTATTGTCATATATAGCTATATTCTGTTTTCGATATCTCTTGTAATTTGATTTTTGTAATTGTGATTAATTGATCTTTTCTGACTTTCTAGTTTAAGGATATTAACAGAGCTCACAGCATCCTCAGTGACTTAACTAAAAGGAACATATATGATAACTATGGCTCGCTCGGGCTTTACATTGCTGAACAATTTGGAGAAGAAAATGTAAACACTTATTTTGTACTCACAAGTGGTTGGTGCAAGGTATGTTGTTATTAATATTTAAGTTGAAACACAGTTTCTGCTTATGACACTTGTAATGCATTAAATAATTGTGTACTTCTTTGTTGTCCTCACAAAGTGGCCACCACAAAAAGCCCTTGTCCACACTTGAAATATGTATTTCACAGAATAGGTAATTAAATTTGTCAGTTTTGATGACTAAGCACAATAGAACCTTAACAAGAAAGTACCAGTAATTGATTAATCGGGATGGAAATGTTTTTCCCCACATATAAAAAAATTATTTAAAAGCTTTACATTTTAATGACTGCAATTAAATTTATTAAGTCCCTTAATGGCTTTTTGTGACCATTTGTGCACTGGCAACACAACAGGCAGTGCTATAGCAAGGCTGAGATTCATAACTGAATAGGATAAAACTTGTTACCCATTGAAATTAATCTATTATATTGTCATTATTATATATTAAGATAGCATTTATGCAGTAACAGGGTTAAGAACTAAACATCTTGAGAGACTGAAAATCAAACCGGCACAAGAATGTATTGTAATTAAAGGCAAGTAATTTAATTTGTATTGCAATAAACATTGGAAGACAAATCACAGAAATGATCTGAAACATATGTACATGAACTTGGTGTTATAAAATAAGCTAATAAACTGAGAAGAAAAAAAAAGGATAAGTTATAGATTTTAATTTTTTTTTAAATGTAACAGTAAGCACTAAAAAACAAGTCGCAAAAGTCATCTTAAACTCATTCATATAAAACTAGTGCAATAAAATAAGCATAAGCAACTAAAAGAAATACAGTTAAGGGGGGAGATCAAATGGGTACAGTGAAAAATAAGATGTATGACATAAGTTCTAATTAATTCAAGGTAGAAGATTATAATGATTAATCCAGTATTGTTTTGAAGCACTGTTTTAACCAATCAAATTACTTTTTATTGATTTCATTATGAAAAAAAGAAAATTTCTTGTTATTTTCAGGCCCTGTTTGTCTTCTGTGGTATTATTACTGGATGTTACTTATGTTGTTGTTTCTGCTGTTGCTGTAACTTCTGCTGTGGAAAATGTAAACCAAGAGCTCCTGAAGAAACTGGAGATTACTGTAACTTAAAGGTAACTATTATGTATTGTTTTTCATGAAATGCATTTTTAGTCCAAAGGGGCTTTGTCCCTGAATCCTTTGTCCCTTTTTATCTCCAGCATGCAGAACTGTGTATTGGAAATTGTAACGATAGGTTTATTTAAAAATCATTTTGCGACATTGCTATTGAACTGAAATTTATGGTTTAAGTGCGAAGCACAGGATATTTAATAAATAAAAGTAACACACAAAGCATTAAAAAAACACCCCTTTGGACGTAATTTAAAATTTGAAACCTTTCAGTTTTTTTCCCATATAATTTTTTTTAATTTCCTAGTCTGTCACTGAAGTGAAATCAGTTATTTATAAAGTAGTCTGCATAACAGTTTTGAGAAGTATCAAAACATGGAAGTTTTAAAGAAAAGCACAATTGTGTAAGGCAGACTATGGCCTGTAGTTCATCAGTTTGTTGTAATTCATGATGTAGCTTTAACTTTTTTATATTTTTAAATAATGCAATGAAGAAAATTGCCATTTGCAGTCTGTCTAAACAAAAATATAATTAAGAGATATAGTTTGACCACTGCAGCCATGAACATGAGCCCAAAACACTAGTTTGTTTATGGAATAGGGTGGTTGTCAATGCAGTAGAGAATTTTTCCATTTCCTTTTTTCTTTATTTCCACGACCTTTAAAGAGCACAGATTTAATTAAATAAAAAATTAGTTTTTGGTAATTTGATATGCTGTTCATCATTTTTAACTAACTCAGGGTTGTATGGTCCTGAAAAGATTTCATGGAAGAGATTTTTGGTCCTTAATTTCAGCCATAATCTGCAAAAATTCCTTAATTTTACTTATTTGACAATTCTGTCTGTTTTTTTAGAACATTTTGAGTAATATTTTTTGATGGGTTAATGTTTGAATTCTTTACTTAATATACTACATACTTGAGTTTTAAGCCTGAGACGCTGCCTCCACTGAAACATAAACATTTTGAAATTATTTCTTTTTTGGGCATGAGAAAAGATTTCATAAAATATTTATTATAGGGTGCAGAATTTGGCAACTTACTATCATTTTGACTATTTCTGTATCAGTTTGTATTAAAAAAAATTTTTATTCAGAGATTTCTGAATTTTCGGATGATTTTTTTTTTTTTTTACAAACATAACATTGAACATTATCATAAAAATAATGATAATATATTGAAGTTATATTAAAGAAATAAGGTTAAAATAAAATATTTTTATTTTCTCCTGTCTTGAGTGAGATTACTTTTCATTTTTGTTGCTCAGGAATATTTTGATTTTGGAAAATAAACTAAATAAATGCTATAAATATAAAGCACAATTTCTGAAACATTTTTTATAACAAAACAAAAAAGCTATTATAATTACTTTAAAATTAATTTCATTTGGCTTCTTTTATATTTTTTCATGATAAGAGTTTTTTCCCATGTAATTGTGTCAGAATATTTAAATGTGTATCAGTTTTCTCTGGGAAATTCACTTTTCTTTTCTGAACTTTTTTTTCAAAAATAATCTTTGTTGCTTTTTGATTTTAAAGAGTTGGTAGGGATTTTAGTCCTAGTCTTTCAGAAGGTTTAGGAGAATTTAAAGGCAAGATTTATAGACCTACATTTCCAGAAATGTGTCCTGGACAGTGTGATAGGAGGTATTGTCTAAAATTTTTCTTTTTTTGGTAATTCTTCTCCTGCAGAAAATTCTTAAGATAGAATTAATTCATCTCATGTTAACTGTCTTTATCATGTTACTACACAACAACACAAGTAACTTGTTAACTTATGTTGTGTGTTTGGCTAGCTTTGCCAAGAAATGAAACAGATGCAGTTCTTTCTTTTCAGATATGTGGTATTTTATTAAAAAAAAATTGTGTGTGTTCCAGTACTCTTGCAATCAAACTGTCCATACCAGAAGACACAATTGTGATGTTGGCAACTGTGCTTGAATAAAATCTGAAAATTGGCTCATTGGGAAACTATCTTAAATTAGTAGAATACATGTGGTGACAGATATGAGCATTAGAGAGCGGTATTCTGTTTGCTGCGATCTTAAATGCAGTTATCAAACAAGAAATGAAAAAAAGTCGTTATATTGACCTCCCAAGGCTTAAAATCTGTTTCATCAGCAAAAGGCATCATTTGATTGCTTGCAAATTTGTTGAGGGATGCAGGTGAATACCCTAGCATAAAATAAGTTATAGTTATACATACATTAGTACTTCCATGCAGTCACATCGTTTTAACATTAGATTGCCCAAGGAAGTCATTTTGACTGCTTTTAAATTTCAATTAGAAAAACAATTATGTATATAATGACACTACAACATATAAATGCGTTTATTAACAATTGTAGTTACCCCCTTCTTTCATTTTCAATATATATATATGTGTTTGTGTGTTATACCTATATTGCCCAAAAGCAGTCATTTTAACTGCTTGGGAAGTTTTAAATAATCAAATGACTCTTATTATTGAATTGAGTAAATTTCTTATATGACCAGTTCGGCTGTGTATTGAAATAAGTTTTCATTTTTTTCGATTATCATCACATGATAACATACAAGTGCGCGATAATTTGCAGATTTGGGCATATACTTGATAAGTTGCAGTTTCTCAATAAGCTAAAGTAGTACTTTTTATTCGAATCTCAGCGAACACGTTCTTCTGGAACTTGTCGAGCCATATACAAGCTGTGGAAGAAATATCACGACCAATAATTTTCCACTAGCATGTCACTCGCGACAAAAATATTGGCCAAAAAAACAACTATACTTGCTACTATTAGAGGAAACAAAAGAGAACTACCCAAATCAGCCAAACAAACGAAGGATAAAATGCCTCGTTTTCCCACTCTGCTATATAAATCACACACACAATTGTGTTCTTACTATATATATAAAAGCAAACTAAATAAAAGAGTAGCTGTTCTAAGTTCTAAGCATAAATTTCTGAAAATTGATAAAAGTAATAAAAAAAACTGTTACCGGAATGTATTTAATTTTATAACAGCACAAAATTTGGAGTTGATATGACGGATCAAATGACTAGAAAATATACAGTAAAAGCTAATAATAGATGGCCCCTCCAAAATATTTTTCAATATTTTAGATTTGGCTGCTATAAATGCCTGGATCATTTACAAAGAAACGACAGGAATACAAATACAGCGAAAAGAGTTCGTGCTTCAATTAGCAGAACAGCTTTCCACCGAACACATCGCTGCAAGTCAGAAAAAGTCATCAGAACATGAAGACCCACAAAGATCAATTGCAACATTATCAAATTCAACCCATTCTAATAAACGCAAAATTTGCGCTTTGTCAAGTGTGACTTTGCCACAATAACAAAACAAATAATATTTGTGAAAAATGTCAAAAGTATGTTTGTGGAAGATGTACACATAAAAAGATTTCCACTTTCATTTGCAAAAAAAAGATTTCCACTTTCATTTGCAAAAAATGTACAAATAATAATGCATAAATTATTTTTTTCCAAGTGAAGTACTTTTTTTATTGTTAATATTTACTAATAACTTGTTATATAACTGTAAATAATATAAAAAATATTAAAAATGAATTTTAAATAAATTTCTTTACACATTAGTTATTCTTTCACAATGCAGTCATTTTGTTTGCTTGTGGGCAATATAGGTATATACTGAGTTTCAGTCTTTCTAGTGTTAAATACTGATGTAGAACTTGTGACTGAGATTTTGGTGCTAGTGTAACAGATATAAATTCTTGCTGATGGATGTGATAGCAATAATGTATTATTTGTAGTAAGATTTTGTTTGTATGAAAAAATTTGAGGGTTTGTTAATGCAAGCATTGCAAGATGAAAAGTTATAGAATATATGTAATCATTGTCCAGATTGTTTTGGAAGTTTGAGCTTGTTAATACTAGATTGCATGTGCAAGTAACTGTAGGTAAAACTGTTTGTGAAAATATATATGTATATATGTGGGGGTAAAATAAGGAATAAGTGAAATAAAATTCTGATTTTAGTAATACATTCTTAAATCTCCTTTTTAATATGATTATATCTTTTCTGTCCTAAAATCTGTAAAATACTTATTAGAAATCTTTTTGAACTACTTCAAAAATAAATCCTGTTATGATACTTATATAATGCATATGTTGCATGCGTTGTACATAATGGCAAAAGTGATATTTTGAGCAAAAGTCTTTGTTTATAATAAATACGATAAACAATAAATTATACATACTAAAAGAAATGTAAAATAGTGTAGGTCAGAAAACCATTTTTTTCCCCTTTTCTGTCATTATACCTTGGAAAAGTTGCACCTATCACCCAGCTAAGAAAAACCTTTCATTCACAAATCGCACTCAAAAGTTTTGAAAAATTGTGAAATTTTGATGTTTTTCGTCAATTCTTTATAGTTACTAAACTCATTGCTATTAAAGCATTGCAGGTCTTAATGTAAATTTTGGGGCATGAGAAATATGAAAAAAGTTTAAAAGCTGTAATTTCAAATTATTTATTGTTTGTGCAAAAACCTCAAAGAACATATTTTGTAAAAATAGCGGCATTTCATAATTTTTGCTGCGAACAATTTGAAATGGTGACTGCATTTATGAAATATTGTGTAAATATATTGTGTAATTATAAATATTTTGTGTATTATAAGCAATAACTGATTCAGATAATTAAGTAGTTGACAAAAGCAAAATAAGAGGAGGAAAAACTCTTAATAACAAAAATGATTTGCAGAATCAATCTGTTAAGGAAACGCTAAGTGGTCTGTTCTTTGATGGAAGAAAAGGCATCCCAATGGTAATTAAAATAAAAGCATTTTCAAGAACTGAGAAAGAGGACCATTATTTCTTCATATAAGAACCAGAATTTAGAATTTATTGGCCATGTTTCCTCCTTTACAGGACCTTGTTAAAGATGTAGCTTCTGTCATAATTTACCATTTGACTACACATGAGCTTCATTTTGAAGAACTTCATATGATAGAAAGTGATGGATATGTAAGTAATACTGGTTTGAAAGATATGTATCATACGCTTCAATGAACTGCAGTTCACATGTTTTACCTCTTGATGGTGTTACCACAGGGTTCAAATCCTTCAGTTGACCAAACAGGAAAAACTCCCCTGGCTGTAAAAAAATTTTAGTGGTTCACCTTAAACTTGTATTCTTCATTCTGAAAATTGACAGAAAAGTATAGCAGGGATCAGTTTTACTTGGTATTTCTGCTGCCATAAATTCAGGTACAATTTTTTAATGATTCAGCAGCTCATGATCATGGTCCACTTTTACAAAAATGACAGCAAATTTATAAGGTATTTCTCGCACCTTCTTGGTCTGCTTTCGTGGTGTGGTAGTCTGCACACTGGGCCGGTATTCCAGAGGTCCGCGGTTAGATTCCCGGCAAAGGCTTTGTTAATTTTTCATCTTGCCTGCTTCCAAAAAATACCTAATGTCTCTACAGTGGTGTCCGAACAAAAAGGGTGTTGGATGAATGATTCTCCTCACCCAGGATTTAGTGATTGGGTCCTCTAAAAACCCCAGTTGCACTTTAAAAAGGGAGAGTATATAAGGTATTTTTCCCACCTTCTTGGCATGCCTTCATGGTGTAGTGGTTCCGCATGCTGGGCTAGTATTCCATAGGTCCATAGTTCGATTCCTGGTGAAGGCGGTTGCTCATTTTTCATCTTTCATGCTTCCAAATTAACCTAATGTCTCCACAAGGCAGATAGCCATAGTGTGCTTTGCCATAATAATCAAATAACCAAAGCACTATATGAAATCCTTGAAAATACAGGTTGTTCCACCTTCTTGGCGTGCCTTCGTGGCGTGATGGTCTGCACACTCGGCCGGTATTCCAGAGGTCTGCAGTTTGATTCCCGGTGAAGGCATCGTTAATTTTTCATCTTGCCTGCTTCCAAAAAATACCTAATGTCTCTATAAACTGAGTTTCCAGACTTTACATGAGCTTAGAAAAACACTGATGAAATTAGCAGTTGATACATTTTATTTTAAATTCTTACCTGCTTCTCTGGTTCAAAATCAAAACCAGCGAAAATTTCACATATGGTCGAAAGACAGCTTTTGAAACTATCAAAAACATTATATCTAACCCAAAATTTACTTCAAGTCATCAATTCAGTAATTCAGCAGAATTTATTTTTTCTTTCCCAGTAATTAATTCTTTCTTTGCTCATCTCGAAAATCTGATTCTTGCAAATGTTACGGATGAAAAATCTGAAAAATCATATCAGAGGAATAAGGTTGCACCGATTATTGAATGCTCGTCCACTTTCCAAGGGGAGAGGAGAGAAAAAAAAAAAAAAAAAAAAACTACTTGAATCCTCACCATGCCAAAACTCAACTTTGAAACAACGAACTATGTCAACATGCTTTGGTGGGATAGTTGCAGTAGCTTTCCTTCTTTAAAATCTATTAACCGCTTCCCTTACAAATTTTTTTGAAAAAAAATTACAAAAAAATCTTCACCTTATTTTATTTTATTATTAAATACAAGGAAACAAAACAAAATATGTACGTTTCAAGTTGAATTTTTAATTTTTTACAGGTGTAAAAGCATTTAATTTTATTATTACTTTACTATCCCGAGTTATCTCGGGCAAATAAAAAAAAGTTAAATATTAATCATTGTATAATAGTTTTTGAAATAAGATACAATACAAAGTGGATACCCTACATTTTGTACACTAGTATCTGGTCTCTTTTCCTTACTAGCTTACCTCTAGAATCTCTTTTGTGGGAGCACAGCGTACAATCTCTCGTTGTCATTTGAAGTCTTCAAAAAGGCTATATACAGAAGAATCACTTCCACTGTTTTTAGTATCCACCTCTTCATAATCACTATCTGAAAAATCATCGCTTTCGCTATCTTGCGTCATCGCCATTATTTTACCTTTGTTCAATGCAAACTATCCTTCTTTATACATTATTAGCCCACAAGCTGACGTATACTATACAATAGGGAAAACACGTGACCAGTCCGGCCAAAAGAACCATGAAACCAACAAAACTTGGCAAACTGCCAATCAAAGCTGAATATTTCGCTTCATTTCCTCCAGGCCGAATAAAACCCTGATGATGATAATTAACTGCAATATATATGAACTCGAGATAACTCGGGATAATCAGGCAAGCAGTTAAAGAATGGTACATTGCTGTAGTTGGATTTGCAAAGCTTCTTTTGTCAGAAACAGGTTGTAGACTGGCATCAATTTTGTGACTGAAGCACCTAAAAAGTTGTGTGGTTCTGTCACAAGAGAGAGCTTGATTATGATGACACTTCTCTCAAGAAAACTAACTTTAAGGTGCACTCTTTTTTAACAATAAAATTAAAAATGATAAATATGTTCGTTTGTTTACAAAAATGAAAGATCAGAATCATCAGAAGTTGCAAAGTATTGCTATTTTTACAATTTTTGTTAGCTTTTTGTACAAGGAATAAATGGTATGAAATTACAGTTTTTAAACTAGTGCCTTCACATTAACGTTAGGAACAACTGCATTCCAAAAGTAGTGAGTTCAGTAATTATAGCAAATTGGTGAAAAACAGAAATGTTTCACTATTTTTCAAAATTTTAAGTGCACTGCATGAATGGAAGATATATCTTTACATAAAAACTTTCTATTGCATTTTGCATAGGCAATAGGCAACTTTTCCAGGGTATAGTGAAAGAAAAATACGAAATTTTTTTTCCGGCACACCCTAATGTAGAGTGGTGCTGTTGAAGAAGAAAATGCTTGATACTTAATGACTGGTAATAATTTTTGTGTAGGGATAATTCTTCATAGCATTATTGAAGCAAGCAGTGTATAGTTGAACCGGCACGAGAACTTAGTTATTTCTCTAAATTCTGTAGTAAATATATAAAAGTTTTCAGTTACTTATACTTAATTAATATGTTCTTCTTCATCAGGGAAACTGGTTACAGAAGGGCAGGGAAATTATAATAAACACTGAATTTCAGTGTTGACTCTGAATTGTCGCATTAACAAAATTTTAGGAAGCAGCAGACCAAAAATGCTATAATTGCTAAACAAATTATTCATTATTAATAATTGCTAAACAAATTATTTTGCCAACTTTTCAGTGTACATAACTAAAGAACTAGAAATATTTTTAATATGTATTTTATTTAGTTGTGCATTTATTTATTTGATCTTTTTAAGTGTACTGAACAAATTTTAGTATTTCATAACATATTATAGTAGAACAACAAAGGTTTGCTAATGCTTGAAGTCTACACATTCTTTCTCAGATGCAGGTGATTTTTGATAGGTTTTTTTTTTTTTTTTTTTCATTCAGTATGAAACTAGCAGTTATAATCTAATTAACTTTCTTTTTTTTAATTTTGCCTAATTATTTTGTTAAACGTTTCTGAACTTGTATCTATAAATGAAATTAACCCTTTTCTATTTTAATTGAACAAGACTGATAGATCTATTCTTGATTTTAAATATTTATAATTTGTTATCAATTCTTTTCCAGGAGGATTACGAAAGCGGCGGCAGTAATCCACCTTCGCCTGTCCGTACACAGCCCCAGAGCTCTGATCCTTCTAAAATTCCAATGGCAATGCCTGCACCAGGAGAAAATGCCACAGAAATGACTGGACTAAAAAGTGCACAGACTGTTACATACATGACAGGTCACGATGCTACGTTACAAAGCCAGTAACTTATAGCTATTTATTTTAGCTTCCTCTTAATGTAGAAAGTATTTGATGGATGTCCTGTATCATGGTTAGGGTTTCATGATGGATAATTTGGAGTCAGTGTGAGCATATATGATGTACATGTCTTCTTGATTCTTTAATGCTCGCTATCGTATTGATAAAAAAAAGTATGTGAAATTGTTTTGATTTTTGCATGTGTGTCTTCAGATCTTGTCAGTGTGAAATTTACAAATTGTTTTAAATTTGAGGTTAATTTCTTTCACACATTTTTGAAGACTGAAATTTTCCCAGCTAAAGTTATATACATTTGTTACGAAAAATGGGGGATAAAAATCAAATTTTTGCAGTGCAGTAATGAAACATTGCATGCAATTTTTTAATCTTGTGGTAAAAAGAAGTTATAAAGAAGTTTGATGATTATTTGAAAAAGTGTGAATTTTTTTTAAAAATATTAATAATTAGATATATCTCTTTATTTATTATTAAATGTATATATAAACACATACACACACACACCACATATATATATATATATGTATAATTTAATATTATAACTACTAAAATTGAATATTTAAAATTTATGTACAAAAGTTCATTTTTACCTTTTTCTAAAGCTACTTTAGAAAATTACTGGAATTGTGTCACCAAATCATGCAAGCTGGATAGGTAGCTATAATGTTTTCTTGATGATCAGCTGGTTTCTGATCAAATGAACTTATTTTCTTTGCGAATTTTTATTTTCTTTGCTAATTTAGATTGAAATGAAGTATACCTGTTGATTAGGTGGCTGCTTTTCTTAATTAAGAAAATTCTATATTCTTCAGTACAAAGAGTGCCATGTGTTACAGAAGCCTAATATTGTGTCACAAATTTGTAAAATACCTGTGGCACAACAGTGGCATATATGATGTTGTCTCCTCTTTAAAATGCATCATTATTAATGGCTGGACGGTAAGTCACAAAATGTTTAATCAGCCATATGCCACTATAAATGAATATGCTCTGTGTCGTGTGGCATCACACATGTGCATATGTTATGTTATATATAAAATGTGCATCCATTGAGACAGAGCAGTTTTCCCAGTTATTGAGAAAAAGTATATAAATTCAGCAAAAACAAGCAGCAGGAAATGACAAGCAAATTAATTTTTTGTGATACAAAATTCCAGTAAAGGTTTTATGAGTGATATTTAGGTAAGAAATGAAAAGACCATTGCACGTGATTAATGTATTGCATTCACCAGATTACATAACCATGTGGTCACACAGAAAGTTTTAAAAATGGTAATTGGCATTGTCAATTTACAGCTTGAGAAAAATATTTTCAAATAAGTTTCTGTTAAAAAAAGTGTAGATAGTGTTTGGGGAAAATTTCTCTTTCATTTTCATCCTCTGTTTTAACATTATTAGACAGTGTTAAATTTGGCATAAATTTTGAAAGTTTGAGCATTTTTCTGAACACTTTGCATTTATGCCTCATTAGTAGCAGACTGTCTATGTAAAATCAAAAACTTACAGTATCAATAGCAGCAGTGAAATAAATGACATTCTTTCAAGCATATTGAGGAGGAAAATTAAGAAACTAATGATCTGTGATATGTCAAGTATCTTTGAATGGTAAAGAATTAATATCTAAAATAATGTAGAAAAGTTGTAGTAAAATTAATGAAAATGAGAAAAATGAAATGTTCTAATTAGAAAGCTTAATGTGGAGAGTAAAATGTGTAAGTATTTTGTGACATATTTTTCTGTTGCTGTAAATCAGTTTTATACAAATATTATTTCTTTCAGCACTTGTAAAAAATTAATTTTAGTATTCATTCTAATATAAAGTTATATAATAAAATTATTGAATTAGGTTGAATATACCATATATTCCAGTGCGTAACTCGCACTTTAAATAAAAAAAAAAAAAGATTGAAATTCATGGGTGCATATTATATGCCAGATATAAAAATGATAGATTTAAAAATGAGGAAAAGAAGAGTATACAAAAATTAGATTTTTACGCCATCAAAAGTTACTTCAAAGTTTTCACTTTTATTTGCATTCTGTTTTGCCCAGGTTGAGGCAAATAAACATATGATTAATCCATTCCTTGTTACAATTAATCCATTCTGCTGATTTTCTGGATTGCAACACTTTCTTCTCCGCTAGGCCATTTTGTTACTCCTTTATGCAAAGCACATTTATTCTTTCGCATATTAATTATTGTAATTTCATTTTTGTTCCTGTCATGTATAGAGCCTTCACTAGTACCAAATTCCTTGCTGCAGCACAAGTCCCATTTTTCGTTGCAGATTAAATGACTTTGCACTTGACACCAGTGCTATTAGTTTGGTTGATTTATTCGATTATCTCAAAGCACTTGAGGGCTATCGGTCTAAGGGGAGGGATGCCTTCATGGAAGACTTTCTAAGGGAAACTGGCTTATATACACGTTACAAATGGGGAAGACGCCCATACAGCCAGCCTGTTTGCAGGATTCGAACCTGGGACCGAATGCTCGGCCGGCTAGTGGGTTACACAAGCACTGTTTTTTTTTTTTTTTTTTTTTTTTTGGTAGGAGCTGTATTTTCTACTAAAAGGGACACTACATCAACTGTATTTCAACTAAAGCAAATGCAGCTTTTATTGTTCCTCGTGTTGCATGTTAATTCAGTATACCTTTGTTGAAAAGCCTGGGGAAAATCTTCGAATGAATGGATCCAAAAGATAAGACCATGGCACATGTATCTTTCAGGTTTCTTTGCAAAGAAAAGTGTGCGTGTTATACAGTGAATAAACCTAAAAATTAAAAAATATAGTTTGAAATTATAGATGTGCATTATACACTAGTGGTATATGTTATTGACTGGAATATATGGTATTTCTTGACCAAAAATTAGATTTCTTTTTAATTATTTCTAGAGTAGTGTTAAACTGTTTTGCTATTTTTTGGGAGGGAGCATATTTATATCTGGGCTTTGAATTTTTTTAGCAAGAACTGAATGTTGTTAAAAATTAGAAGGTTTTGTGTTTTTTTCTTTAATACAGGGGCAGCTAATAATCATGCTACTATTGTTATTTCACTATAGTTCTGTCATTAGTAACGTTAAACAAATAGTTCTCTTGTTATACTTCAATCTTTTGTATACCACTTCAAAATTCTTATCTTTCTCCCCATCATGTGACTAGTCACAAATAGTCAAGACAAACTGTCAGACATTCTATGACTTTACTATTTGACTAATCATATGAGTAGGCAAATAGTGTAGGCATAGAAGAGGAATCATTTATTCATGATTGTGCTCAAATTATTGGTAAGATGGAGGTACATCAGTCCACAAATAATACTGTGAAGTTTAAAACAGAAAAAGAGGCAGAGATGTGCCAACCTGCATCTCCATAGCTTTAATATCCAGTATTACATATTTCTTGTTCTCTCATTTACTTCATCTTCACATCATTATAGCAAACTGTGTCAACTCCAGCCTAAATGGTGTCCACCAGCGGCTGAGCGGTAAAGCCGCTGAACATTGGTAGTTCGGTCCTAGGTTCGAATCCGTGAACGGTCTGGCTGCATGAGCATTTTCGTGGTTTTCTCCGATGTGTAACGTGTATATGAGCCGGTTTCCCTTAGAAAGTCCTCCATGAAGGCATCCTTCCCTTTAGGCAGATAGCCCTCGTGTGCTTTGCTATAATTGAATAATCCAATCCAATCCAGCCTAAATGTAATCTGTTATAAGTGCAGAAATGAGTGATCCTGGGACTGTATTCATTATTTATGTTCAGTTCTATGAAAAATAATAAATGAAAGTTATTCAATGGCACAGAACAGAGAAATGTATGACAATAGAAGTTTTGGTTTATAGGGCCTGATTTATGTATGGGAGAAGAGGCATTTACCCGAGGTCTCCAAAAAAACCTTAAAAAAAATCCTTCTGCAATGTTTAAAATATATAAAATTTTTTAAAACGTTTTCATTTCTAGATTTTAAGAATTCAAGGTAAAAACAAGAATAAACTTTTAAACCTTATATTTTAATTTAGTTTGTGTCTCTTTAATATGTAAACAAAAATCAACTAAAGTTTTTTCGAGTATATTGTTTTTTTCCAGCATATCCAAATTTTTTCTGTGGGCAGGGGAAGATCATTGTTTATAATTTATTTCATGTAATAAGTATTTAAGTGAATCAATGAAAAAATATACAGACAGGTGAAATATATTTTTTAAATAACTCTGAAAGGGAAAAAATATAAATTATTAGGTTATTTTATGAAATACTATAGTATAAAATCCGTATCAGCAGTATTTATTGCATTAAAATGAACTGATGAAAGAGAGGCATTCGTAAAAGATTTGCCCTTGGTCTCCAAACTTTGGCTCTATTGATTTAACATTATTATAGTATTTGATATTTTCCCAGATTAATTTTACAACAAATAAAGGAAATCACAATGTCATTTCAGTCACTGATTTTCTTAAAATTTATGCCAAATTCAATGCTGTTTCGTAATACTTGGAGCTAGTATTGCCAAATTTATGTTAGTTACTTTGTGTTCTTACTATTAATTGTTTCTGAATTGCTTTCCCAACTGTTGAGTCGGTTGAGTGAAATAAATTACTGGAACAAATATTTATTTCATTACACTAATTTTATTTTAATTCAAGGTTTTGTTTATTTATTTTTTACATTTGTTGTGGTATTTTGCTTGAAGCAAAATGTTGATTTGTATAGAATAAATGCAGCTGAGTTTGAGAAAAGACTTTTAACATTCCCAACCCTTTTTATTAAGTTTTTTCCATCATTATTGATACATAATGCAAGAAGATACATCTATTATTATACCTTCTTCTCATCCTATCTTCCTTAAAGTATTCAGTCATATTTTGTGCATGAGATTGGAATACATTACTTATCAATTATTTATATTTGTAATGTCTGAAATTCTGGTTTTTTCTTAAGAAATGAATTAAACTTCTGTATTTAATACTATGTTTAATTTTTGGATCATTTTATATTGATATAGATTTCCGTATAATAAAACACTTAAAATTGAGAACTTGAGACATTCCTCATTTATGTATAATTTTTACATTGAAATATCCCAGAGTGTACCATTTAAAAGTAACTGATCTTAGTGTGTTACTGATGAAAGAAAGTGTTCTGGAATTTTTTTAAACCTTTCTTTATTTACCAGTTACCTCTATATTCATTTACAAAAAATTAAGAAACTTCCACATGTGATCCTCTTATGAAGCAGATAACTTCTAGTCTATAATTAATCTCATATCCAGCTGCTACAATATGAGTGAAATTGTGGAAGATGTGAAAGTAGGAATTTAGGTGAACCCATTGTAAATATCTTGAATTTAACTTTGATGAAAATGGTTACTCATGTTGACTATGGCACTAGGTCAATATTGCATAGACCCTTGGCATGCACAAGACTGACACAGCAGATCAAAAACCCATGCCAGTGTTGATCCTGTGCAAATGTCTATTATGTTTCATGTCAACACTAAGCTGTGTTGATCTTGTGCCATGTCAGTTCTAAAGTGTTTTTATCCTCTGAATGGATACCTGCATGTGCAGGTTATTTCATAATATTGTCTGTATGTTGTAGGAAGCATTACTTATTCTTGAAATGAATATCATGTAAATTCAGTTTTAGGCATTAAAAATGCCTGCAATTTAGTCTTTCTGTTTTTTTTACGTCGTGTTATATTGTTAATATCATTTTCAGACTGAAATTAAATCTATGCACTGCTTAACAAACTAAAGGTGATTTAGAAACACTTCTTAATAGTTTGTATCTTTATTCTGTTTATTAATAATATATATAATTGGTGTAATTCATTTTATTATTTAATAACACATATAACCCAATAATTATATTTATAAATTTTAGCTAATTAGTAATTATATGAATTTCCATCATTATAGTAATTAGATGATGTTTCTAATGCCACATATAGTATACTTCTGGATATTTATTGTCTATCCAGTTTACATTTTCTTGGCAATAAATTTTTGGCAACAAGAATTTTTTAGGTAGCAAAACATCTCTAGTGACATTTTGGTAATCCTTGAAATATATTCTTGAAATATGGCTATACGTTTTGGATCTGCAGTAAATTCTATAAGCTTTCTATGGTAAATTCAACAAACTGCATTTCCTTGTTATTATTAATTGAATCCTTAGCTGCTAAAGTAAAGAAAAGTAATGAATGAAATTGATGTACTGAATAATCAGAAAGAAAATTACAAATAATTGTTTCCAGGTATGTCCCTTATGTCATCAAAGATGTTTTGACACTCCTTCCAAAAAAGAAACAAGCCTTGTTGTCATAAAAGTTATTGCCATAAAAATGTGAGCTTGAATAGTCATTGAGTTCCTACTTTCATACAGAATAATCATTGAGCCATCTTATTAAGGAATTTGTAAACATTTTCCCTTAAAATGTGTACAATAAACTCTCTTATATATACAATAAAAAACATGTTAAAATAATTCATAACTTGCATCTGAGCCATTTTTTGTTAATTTACTAACTTGATTATTACAGTTTTAGTTAGCAACAAAATATAATAAATGCTATAAAACTGTAATGAATATATATACTCAGTTCTTGAATAGTAATAAGTAGGACTTAGCTGTACATTCTCGACATGAGTAATGTTATTTCTTTACTTTCTCCTGGCATGAATAATAATCCTTTACTTAATTCTTGCATGAATAATAATCTTTTACTTAATGCTTGCATGAATAGTAATATTCTTTTATTTCTTCCTTACATGAGTAATGTTACTCCTTTACTTGTTCTGCATTTAAAAAAAGTTATTCTTTTCTTACGCCTTGCATCATGCTTCAGTTATCTATACTTCAGAGGTCAGAGTAACCTGTTTCTTCTAGACCAAGTAAAATTAAGCATTTTGATAAATTATCTATGTTTTTGTTTCCTTGCTTTTATTTGAATAGCAATATAAAAAAGATTACTACAGTACTGTATACATTTTTAAGAAGCTATTACATGAATTTACATGAATATTGATGCAACAATGCTTCAAAAATGCATAGTCATTAAAAATTAATGAAAGAACTAGTATATACAATACATAGACCAGTTGTTCTTTGTGTATCTTGTGTGTCAAGTGGTTAGCAATAAACGTGCTTCTTTTGCAAAAGAAGAGTACGTAAATAAAAAGGCATGTCTGACCCATAATTCTTGGAGTATAACCGAAAAATTAATAAATGTGTAAACACTTAGTGTTGAATTTTGAAAGTGTGAATTGATTGGATAATTTTTAGGAGATATTGCTGGCTTATTTAAATGAACTGAATGTATTTTTTCTAAGGCCATAAGCAGCTAACCAACTTGGCTCGAGCAAACTACAGCCTATAAGCTGCATACATCTTGTTGTGTATTTTTATGTGGTTTATGAGAAATAGTCATAGGTTAGTTTTTCTATGTTTTAATGCCTCTGTAAATAAATTTTGCTTTCTCTGGATTTGTCAGCTTGTGAACTATTTTATAACTTCTAAATTTATTAAAATCAGTATAGCATACAACAGATCATAGATCATCCTTTGTTAAGTATTCTGTCCTAAAATGGCCTTTTCTTGCTTGTCATCAAGTAGATGCTTGTGGTGTTCGTGAAAAAATAATACAAATTCTGTATCATAAGTGGGTGAAATCTAAGTAAGGAGACTTTACGTATTTCCATTACAAAATTAACATCTGAAATTAAAAAAAGTAATGAAAGGTGTAAAACACTATCATTTGTCTCATTAGAAATTTACAAAATTTTGTTAGAACTGACTTACAGCATTTTATATATAACTAAAAAGCCTATGTTATTCGTGTACCTTTATTTAAAAGTGGTTCTTCAGTCAAAATTTTACTCGGAACTGCATTAAATGATGTTTCTAAGTATGGCAGCATTTGAAATTACCTCAGTTGAGAACAGTAGCTCAATTCACTTTGGGTCTCTGTTTGGACAAAAAAATTGAAACAGCAAAAAATATATCACACTAGTAGTTATTTTATTGTAACACTTTTAATTTAGGATTTAATAGAAGAGTAACATGTTTCAGTATATTTGCAGCTGTGTACTAAATTTACTGTTCATAAAAACCTCTCACTTACATTGAAATTTACTCGAAAACATTGCATTTTTATTGTTTTTAATTTCATTTTGAGAAGAAAATTTTTTTTTTCCAAATTTTGTTTAATTGAAAAATTACTATATCTTTACAGATTATAAATAAAATTACAGCTAATATTTTCAGTGATTCACTGTGTAACAAATCAAAACAATTATTTTTACTTTACTCTGCAGAATCACAACCATTTCTGCATTAAACTTCCAATTTTATTAAAATTTTTTCATAACATCTGCATAAAAAATATAATCAAATTCATTTGATAGCCATCTGTGATTAAAGCATTGTTTAGTATGAAATGAGTTATTGAATAATTATATTTATGCAACTATGAAACATTTTAATGACATTTTTATTTAAAAGGATATTTTTATCTGTATGCAGGTACTATAATAGAAATATAATCTAAGAGCACTAGCGCCTTTCAAACTTCCATGCATTCTAAATTTCATCGTTGCGTACATTGCAAAGGTTTTTCCTTTTTTCCGTTGAATCTTAATGGAAATGTGGACGGAAAATACTTCTTGATCAGTTAAATTTGCCTTTTTTGTTGGAAATTTAGTTCACTGTGTGCTTTTCTCCAATGTATTTGCTAGTACATGTAAATTCAATATTTAAGAGGCATATGTTCTGTTTTATGCATATGCATGTATAAAAATAAATGGTTTGCCATCTAGCACATTTTAAAGACAATAGCTATCTATTTTGCTATGTTTTTGCAATAGAGAAATTGGGCGTAGTGAAAAAATAAATTTCATTTTTATTTAGTTGTAGTTTAAATTATAATTCTTTTTAGAAGTAAAAACATAGATTTTGTTTCTGTGTGGTTGTAATTTACTTTACTATTTTAAAGAAGTAAAAGAGTAAATTTCATGTCTCTACAGTTATTTACTTTAATCTTATTCTTTAGAAGCATAAGCATAAATTTCATCTCTTTGCAGCTGTAATTTAATATGTTATTATTATTTTGGATGTTAAGGAACTGGTGCAGTTCTAGTTTATTTTTTTAGAAGTAAAAGAAATTTATTTCTATTCAGTTGTTATTAGTTAATTATTATTGTTATTTTATGAATAGCTTTGACTACTTTGATGCTATTAACATGGCAGTAAGTGTTGTAATGCAGCTATTTTTTTAAACTCTTGCAATTTTTAGAGATTCATGTAGCATTACATTTATTAGTAGTTGATAAAAGATATCACATTTGAAAAGTTTAATCATCATATATTTTCCTGTCTTGCAAGGAATCATAAAAGGCAGTATATTATGCATGGAAGCCATTTATATTTATGTTATAGCAAATTATAATGTGTATGTATAAAAGTATGTGTAAAATAATTTACTACTGAAATAGATCCCCTCCTCCAAATTCATGGAACAAATTGCTAATTTCATTTTTTCCAAAACTGCAAATTCGATTTTATTTTAAATTTTTGTTAAAGTTTGAAATTTGTTTGTTATCATCATTCGTTATTGAAAAATTTTAGTAATTTAGCAGTTCGTAATTTAAGTTCCTTAATCCTTGGATGTTTTGATATCCATAATTTAAATGAAATATAGTTAACTTCCTTTAAAAATATCCTTTCACTTGAGGAATTTACATTTTTCATCATAGAATTCAAAATGGTAATCCTAAAACTGAAATAAAAATATAATTGTTTAAATTTATAAGTTATTATTATTGATTAGAATATTTTCAAAGATAAATAAATAGTCTCTTTCTATGTGTGTAATAATTATTCATCTCCAATAAAATGTAATCATTCATTATTGTGGAATTTTAAATGCAAATAATTCTTTTAAAAAGACAAAATTTATATCTGAGGACTTAGATTCAAAATTTTCCTGCATTCAGAACTTAGTTATGGATTAATCGGTTTATTTTCCCCATTTTGCGCAAAGAGGGATTTTTCTTTTAAAAAAGTTAATTAATAGAGGCCTTTTAAAAAAAAAACTGTAAACGTATTACCATTTATGTGAATGCAAATATTGTGATTTACCTGCCAGATTTTATTTAATCAATGTCTACTTGCTTAACAATCTGAGTTAAAATATGCAAGTACATTTGTAATTAGTTTGAATTCTACATTTTACAGTGTTTAATTGATATATTTAACAATATTATGAAAGTTTCCATTATTTTTAGAAGTAATAAAAGATGTTACAAATGTTATATGTTGCAGAATTGTTTTTTTTTTTAATTATATATTTAACTCTTATAATTTAAAGCCAACTTAATTTCAAATATGCTTAAAGTCATAACTTTTACGAGCATTTTCAGCGTCATTGGAATAAAAAGTTTCTCTTCACCCTTCTCCTCTGGCATGGAGTAATGTCAGTGACATTTATTATTATAAATGACTGCAGATTTTACCAAAGTGACTATTCATACTTTTTTTTGCCACATTTGGATTATTTTTGAAACTTGGTTGAAGTATCACCTGTTTTGCTGAAAACAGATTTTTGGTAAACTTATTTCCTCTGGGCCTCCAGATTTTTTTTTATTAGCTCACATTTAAAATTAATTATAAACATTAAAGCCTTAAAATTTAAGGCCATAAATATTTTACTAAAGAGTGCATATAGAGATTTATTTTTAAATTTGTGATATATGTAATGTTAGGTTTCTCTTATACTGTTAACAAAGATAATTTGATATATATATATTTCTATTCTATTGAAATAACCTTTGAAACAAAGCATTTTGTAAGGTCTATGTTATTAACACACATTTTAAAGAACAAGTTTATAAAATTAAACTCAATTCAACGTAATCTGAACTGAAGTCTAACCTTCTAAACTGCCAGAGGAATTATCTCATCTTTTCCTAACTGTACTAGAAGAGTAAGTAAATGCAACATTGTATAATAACTTAGGATCTTGTTGGACTTAACTTGAAATTACAAACTGAAACAATTAACTAAACTTACTTTAATTTTTAACGTTTGGACAGAAACAATGATTCCATGTCAATACAGCCGGTTGATGTTGCCTTTCTCTTAAATGTAGATCCTTGCTTTTTACTTTAACCTCACTTCATTTTGCACATTCTATGCGTTAGGAGAAACAGTAGAAGGTCAGGGCAAATTTTAACATAAGAAATAATGCATTAATTAAAATAAAAACTTAAAATATTTGTTTTTTATTACCAGCATATGTTTTTAAGTATGGATGAAACAAATATTTCATGGGCCTGCATCTTAGATTGGCATCTTAAATTGGTACTCATAATATATGCACATTGTCTACCTGCGATTGTGCAGTTCCTAGAAATTTTAACATTATGAAACAGTTTTGTTTTGTGACTTGTGTTTTTTTAATTGCATAGCTTGTTTTAGGCTGTTTAATTGGTATGCCATTAAGTGTCTTAATTGGTTGCATAATAAGATATTAAGTAAGATGAAATTGATCATCTCGGTTGCATAACATTAAATTGCCTATATCATTATATGCTGGTAATTTTATTTGGTTATTAGTTTCTAGGAGAAGTTTTTGTTTATTTGCATCTATTCTTGTTTTTATGGTTTGTTTAAAATTCCTTATATAGCATAGTATGTTATAGTAAAGCTGTTCTGAACTGTTTGATTGGAATGTGTCTTTCATGAATGTGCAAATGAAAAATTTGTTTTGGTTCCAAAAGTCTGTTTACTAATTATTTGTTGCGAATGTTGACATGCTTTTTTGACAATGGTATAGCATATTTCAAGGCATTTATAAAATTATAATGAAGGTTGCAGTATTCAAAAAGTGTAGTTATAAAATTAGATACCATTGAATAAGTTTTATATTGTTACTTGCCGATTGTTGTGAATATGTAAATACAGTATTAAATTTAATTATGTAAAATTTCTGTTGTAGTTCATTAGTTTCAAAACTTGATATATTTGAAGTCATGTATTCACTCATTTAATATGCAATACAGTTTGTTAACCTTGAATATTTTATTATTCAGATTGCATAATATTTACGTATATAGATATTTTACTTATTCTGATAATGTATTGTAATCATGTGCTTTGCATATCAATTAACTATCTTACCCATTTTAATCATATGGGGAAATACCCTACTCTTGTAATTGATATAAAATTATTTAAAATTTGTAAAGCGATAAAAACGATGATGAATGAAAATTTATTGTCTTCTTAGTACCTATGCGAAAAAATATACCTAACAGCCACCTTTGCACTTGTATGTTGATAATAATAATAATAATAATAAATAGATAATGATTTTTTAGATCAAGTGTTTTCTTTATTCGATTTAGTTCACATGCATGTACACTACATTGGAGCGTCTTGGAAATCAATCAGAAAAAGAACCTAAAATGAATTTTGTGTAGGAAACTGACACATAATCTGAATATTTTGAAACAATTACACAGGAGGAAATATTAATGATAAAAATCTGATGTGTACACCACATGACTTCCTTGTACGGAATATTAAATTATATGCATTTTTTCTAGCATTTCATTTAAACGTATTGGATTGAATTAAATCTACTTCGCCCACAGCGCATAAACCATAATAGAATAAATGCATTCTTTAAAATTTACTCTAACATTTGTTTACCATAGCGACACTCTGGCACTAGATTCACTTAACAGTATTATATTTCGTTCATATTATAACTCATAATGCACAAAATTTATATCATTTAAAGAATAGAATTAGCTAATCATTATCACATGTTTTATTCAAATACTATAATAAAGCCAGAATGATGTATAAAAGAAATTAAGCAAACAAAACAAAAAAGGAAAGTTTTTCACAGACGATTGGGTATTTCTCATTCAATTAATTCAGTTCTCACTTCGCGAGAAGGCAAAAATAATAAAAACTCAAATATCTATATTAAAAATTACGAAGTACTAAATCTTAACACTTAATTTTCCTCGAAAAAATTCCATAAGGATTAAGCATGATTTAATTGGCAATAATAAATGAAGGCGTTATCTTTGTTGTTGCGAAGCTAAGTTTCTCTAGATTGGCAACAAATCCGCTAGTCTGCTGTTTCAAATGTAAGCAATCAATTGCCGCCATAAAAAAAAAGGCTTAGCGGCAATTAAACAACTTTAAAATTGTTGATAATTCTAAAAACATTGCATACAGATTTACTAAAGGCATAAAACCTTAATCGGAAGATAAAAACAACATAATTCCAATCATTTTTAAAGCAAAAAAATGTACAATTTACAAACATGTAAGAGTAAAGAACTGAGATGACTGAGCCGGGTAACAGAGTGGATATATATATCAATATATTTATATACGTTTGGTGCGGCCATTGCAACCAAATACGAGGTGCACATCTACATGTTAAGCAGTCCTATATACAAAATTTCAACGTTCTGAGGCTACTCGTTTTTGAGTTATGCGAGATACGTACGTACATACGTTCGTACAGACGCCACGAAAAATTCTCTTCAGAACTAATTTTAAAGCAGTTTTATAATTTTTTTGGAGTAATCGAGTCTTTTATTCTGTTCTTGCGTACAGATATCACGCAAAAACATCGTTAAATTGCATTCGAAAGCGATCAAAATGGATATTTTCGTTGAAATATGCTGCCTGAAACTTTTCGCGATTACAATACTTCCTTTTTACTTCGTACAAGGAAGTAAGAAATGAAAATTAAGCTTAATGAAATTGATTTTAATGTATTTATAGTAGCTTTTTTTCATCCTTTGCTGAAAAGTAATTAAGAAATTGTCCATTATAACATTCATTACCATGTTTGAATTTCAGAATCAAGATATTCAAAAATCGCCAAAATAAAAATCTTTAAAGTATGACAGAATTAAGATGTGTTTTAAATTTTATTCGCCCCAAATTTATTGTACACAAAGTGTTTTAAATTTTATTCCCCTCCCACCCAAAACAAATATTATAACATTTATTACCATGCTTAAATTTCAGAATCAAGATATTCGAAAATCACCAAAATAAAAATCTTTTAAAGTATGACAGAATTTAAGATGTGTTTTAAATTTTATTCCCCCCAAATTTATTGTACACAAAGCCTTAAAATCGACAAATTGTTTTAAATTTTATTCCCCTCCCACCCAAAACAAATATCATAACATTTATTACCATGTTTAAATTTCAGAATCAAGATATTCAAAAATCGCCAAAATAAAAATCTTTTAAAGTATGACAGATTTAAGATGTGTTTTAAATTTATTCCCCCCCAAATTTATTGTACACAAAGCTTTAAAATCGACAAAGTGTTTTAAATTTTACTCTCCTCCCACCCAAAACAAATATCATACACGAAGTCTTACAATTTCGGCAAAATGTTGTTATAAGTTACCATACTAGCGACGAGCAACAAAATAATTTAACATTTTTTGACCTAATAAAGAGCAAAAGTTCAAGCGATGAGCCGTATGTCTGCTAAAGGCATGCTCTTTAAACACAGGTTGGCACTATAATGGACGCTTTGCAGAAAATTGTAATTGTGAAAGTTAGATTTCACTTGCTATATCGTAAAATTAAGATGTTTAAAATTTGCTGTTAAAAGTCATATCTTTTGAAGCTCCAATTTAAAAAATAAGGAACGACAGCTGTGTGTTGAGTTAGCTTATATGCTTAGTTTCTAAAGAAAGCTATCAACCAATACATTACTGGACATTAATATAACATAAGGTTGTTAGTACCAGTATTTGTTACGGACTATATGTTTGCCTGTATATGCTGCTTTCCAGCAAACTTAATGTGCGTGCGGAGAAGCTAACGGCATATGTAAAATCTTAGGGAAGGAAGATGCGTGTAAAATTATCGAGTTGCTAAATAGGAAATTTGGCCTTTGTAAAGCTGGATGGGAAAATCTTTTTGGCAGAATTTATTTTAAGTTTCTGCTGAAGGATTCAAGAAAGAATGGTGGTTACAAGGTGGAAAGAAATAGAAATCATGTATTAATTGTTCTTTACTTAATATGTTTCACAAACAATAAATACGTAACACATGGACTGTATTCCTTCACTTTTATTTCAATACACTAATTATAAATAATATGTCAGCGATGCGAAATAATTGATACACAATAAGCGAGCCATTCTACATGGCTGTCACAAACACAATTCTATGAATCAATTATCTTGTTGCCACACATAAAGTTCAAAACTAAAGGAAGAAAAGCAAAAGAATTTTACGCTGTTTGCAACAACAAAATGAAGCAAACGATACTCACATAAACATCTTGCTTAACTCAAACGTAAACTCCGATGTGCATTTGAGTAAGCACATTGTTTGCGGCTGTCTGTTTTAACGCCATTATTGTTGCTGACTGGAATTTTCATGTTAGAACTTATTCGAAAAGTGTTCACAAGTGAATGCAAAATAAGCTATTGACTCCTCATTTCCGCAGTTGCAAAACGTAGCTTAAAGTTCAGCTCCATTCAAGATTGCATTCGAATGTCGAACGCACGAAGTATTCGTGTAACTGTACATGAGCTTGTAGAGATCTTACAGATGTCCCAGCGTCACTATGATGCGCTACCGTAAATTGGCCTGTTTCTTGAACATTGCTGGATGTGTGTTATCCGTTTTACTTAATATTAAGTGATGTTTAAGAAAGGTAAAGATTTTGTCAATTTTGAAGATTGAGCAATAAATTAAAAATAATATTTTCCTTCAAAATAATAATGAATCGTGTATTTAATTGAACATATCATATATAATATATAATGTAATATAATTTAGCTAATACTTAATAGAAATCTTTCGGCTATCTTTGCTGTGAAGAGTTTACGGCCCCTTGAAAGTGGCCACAATGTAGCAATTTGCTAGGGGTATATCTTCAATAAATTCTATTTACATTGCATTTCATATAGCTTTTGCAATAGTAAAAGTTGCATATGGATTGGGCCCTAAATTTAGTTCACGAATAAAAGTACACAAATGAAATACACAAAGGTATTTCATAAAATTGAATTTTCTCAAGATATTCTGTTATTTGCTACATATGCTAAAATGCCATGTCAAGTAAAGGGTATTTCTGATATATGTTTCCATTAACTGTATTTACAAATATAATAGGGGACTGGAAAGTAATGTCGCTTTCTTACATTAAATTCAAACGAATACATTTGGAACAATTTCTTAATTTTAATCTATAATCTCGTATAATCACCCTCGTTATCAGCAACCTTTAGCCATCTAGTATGCCGATTTCATTCCCAGGCCGATAAAAATCATTTGGTTTTTGAGTAAAATATCTCGAGATGGCATTTTGGACATCATCCAAATTTTCAATTTATGTCCTTAGAAAAGTTGTAGGGATCCCTAAATGGGAATCCGAGGGTGCGATATCGGGCGAATATGGTGGGTGAGGCAGTACCTCCCACCCCAATTCATTATATTTTTCCAGTGTTCGTGTTACACAGTGTGGTCTTGCATTGTCGTGTTGCAGAATGCGCCTTTTCCGTTGACAGGTTCCGGATATTTTTCGATTAAAGATTGGTTCACTCCATCCAATTGTTCTCAATAAAGGTCTACATTAACAGTTTTTCCAGGTTTCAGCAATTCAAAATGAACAATTCCGCGAATATTCCATCAAACACCCAGAAGCGCCTTTTCGGGATGTAAACCCTTTATAACCCCTATTAAAACTGCCTTTTGAGTTTTGGGTTATCATACAGGAATTATTTTTTTGTCTCCACTCATCAAACGATCAAAAAAACGGTTCTGTAGGGTGCCGTTGAAGCAATACGTTGCATGGGATGGATAGGTTGGCTTTGTTCTTTTCGGACAGATTATGGGGAGACTCAAACACCTGCTTTGCTTATTTTTCTATTCTGCTTTAAATGTTCTTGGATGGTCGACCAAGGTTGGTTAAGAGTGTTAGCATGGATTTGCTTCCACTTCTGCCCTTAGCATGTTGTTGTCGACATGCGCAGAAATGGCATTACTTTCCAGTCCCCCTATTATAAAACAAGCGTTATAACTGCAGGGTGGCGCATGAAGTGTCATATATATATATTTTATTGCACTATTATTTAACATCGAAATATTACTTAATGAATGCATACTTGACTGACTGAGCTGGTGAATGGAATTTAGTACAGAATGTATTCAGACGTATCCAAATTTTTTTTTTCACAATCTCTTGTAAGCGAACGTTTGCATCGGTCAAAACTCTCCATCCCGCGTTTTCCTAAATTGGATGATAAGGGTCTTGAGCTGCGCTTCATTTACAGACTTCCTTGCAAATACTTTATTTTTCAAAATTCCCAT